TTTTGTTAATATTAGATATTTAAAATATAAGATTTATTTTACTGTCTAAATGGCTCAAAATTCTATACATGATTGTGTCTTTTAGAGGAGGCCAGGAGGAAAAGTAAAAACAGAAGGGCCAAACCCCAACGCAAAACCAAAAAAACTAGCGATGATGAAGATGATGAAGATGAGGATGAGTCACCAAAGAAACGAGGCCGGAAAAAGAAAAAGCGTGACAGTGATGATGATGATGATGATGAAGACAGAAGTGTAAAAAAAGGCTCCAAAACAAGAAAGAAAAAAGCCAAGGATGAGAGTGAAGAAGAGAGTGAAGAGGACAACAAGAAGAAAAAAAATGGGAGAAACACAGGAGGCAAAGGGGTGTCCAAAAAGACCAAAGAGGAGCAGAACAAGGACAAGAAGGGGAAAGGCAAAGATAAAGACAAAGGCAAAGACAAAGGCAAAGGCAAAGGTGGAGACAAGAAAAAGAAGGGCAGGTGCAGTATTCTCTAAGAGCTTACCCTCATGCTCCATTCCACTCAGATCATGTGGCATATACTCAGGTGGTCGTACACTTTAAACCACTGGAGTGACATTAGTTTCTTGAATATATGTCATGTCCACAGTCGGCTTACAATTTAATCCATGTACACAGTTCTTACCTGTTTCTGTGTTTACCTTAAAACACGGTTTATGACCCTGCAACACTAGATTTCCACTTCATGTTCCACACACAGTAGTATGCCTGCCTTAGATTCATGCCATGGTTCACTTATTTGCCATTTTCATAAATACTGAGAAAATTTACCTTAAAATGTTACTTTGCAATCCCCATGTATGTTCAGTTGGGGCCATTTCTTTCTTTTCAGATCTCTATAAATAATATAACACTGCTTGTGCATAAATAGCCAGGTAATGGGCCATAACAATCATTTATCTATGAGCCCCAATTATGTTGTTATGCATGTTTATTCTTGCCAAAATAGAAAACTAAACTAAGATTCATAAACTAAGCTAAGACTATGGTGATTGGTTTACAGTTTTATAACTATGGTAACAGTAGTAAACTAAGTTAAAATTCATAAACTATGATCAGAATAATGTTAATTTGTTTACTGTTTTATAACCCTGGTAACAGGGACTCCTAAAATAACAAATCGATTTGTTTTTAAGATCTCAAACATACTTTGTATTTCTAATACAATAATAATAAGATGGATTTTGTTGACACTGTTGACGCCATAATCAAAAAGTTGGAGCAATAGAAGTAAAATATTGCACATTCCCCAATACCACAAATATTTTATCTTAATAACATAGCACTGAGGTTACATCATATGGATAACAAGATTTAATGAATTGTAGAGCTCAGATTTGGTTGCTACTCTTTCCCACATTAGCTCTTCATCTGATTCTGACTCGGATGAAGAATCTATGTCGGAAGGAGAGATGGAAGCCTTGAAGGAAGAAGTGGAGGAAAAAAAGAAACTTATTGCTACATTAAGGACCAAACCATGGCGCATGAAGAGGAGACTTGTACACCTCAAGTAAAAATATGTATATATATTTTATTATAGTGTTGTGAAATTAGATTTTGCAGCCCCACTTTATTTTCTACTTTCATGTTTTTCTTGTATACTACTTTTATACCATCACTTATGTCCTGTACATGTGATGTGATCTTGCATAATTAAAGTTTTTCATTTTGACTTTGACCTATTTCTGTGTTGCATATATTAAAATCTCATTTCATTTGAACGCAGTTAGTATTAATCAATCTTAAATTGAGGCCAAGAGCTCCGTAGGTCAGCGTGTGTCTAACTTGTTTCTCTAAATACAGTTCAGTAAGCAAACTTTACGGCAGGCAACATGAGAGGCTTGCTATGTTAACTTTTTCATGAGGTTGACACTGTTTAATGCATGCTGTTGTGGCGGACTGACGTGCTCTTTGCCTGGCCCTATTCTCTCAACATAGTCCTACCATCATCAATCAGTAAATCATACCAAAGCTGATGTTTATACATGTTGTCAAGACATAAATAATTCATGTGATAGTTTTGCGTTTGGCAAGTGGTTTAGCAACTTTGTTTTAACAATTTTCTGTTTAATTTGTGAAACAGAGAGGCCCAAGAGTTTGTGGAAAAGTTTGAAGGAGCTCTTGGGAAAGGAAAAGGTCGGAAGTGGTATGCTTACAAAGTTATGATGACAAAGGTAATTCACTCATTTAACAACTCTGTTATGAAATATTTTCATATCTCTGAAAATAACAGCACTATTATTTAATTACAGAAACTAATAAAATTCAAACGTGACTTTGAGAACTTTAAAACTGCATGCATACCCTGGGAGAGAAAGATTAAAGAAGTAGAAAGTTGGTGTCATGTTATATTTAACATTACTTACCTTTTTGTTTTGTTACTTACTTAGTTATTTGTGCTTTTTCTGTGACTGCAACAGGTCACTTTGGATCTTCCGTGGCGTCATACTTTATTTTTCTCCGGTGGATGTATGGACTTAATCTGGTGTTGTTTGGATTTATGTTTGGGCTGGTCATACTGCCTGAGGTACAAATTTGTTATGAGTATTCTGTTTTAGGATGAAATATAATAGTTATTATTAAACTCTTAAATAGATATATTTCATGTAACTAATAAATGTATATACCATTTAAAATCATATTCAGATTATACAATAGGATACTAACATTTTGTGTTGTCTTTTGATAGATTCTTATGGGCCTTCCTTATGGCTCCATTGCAAGAAAGACAGTGCCCAGACCAGAGCAGGACACAGCCATGGACTTCTCTGTTCTATTTGACTTTAACGTGATTTTGTTTTCCTTCTTTTTCCAGTCAGTGTCTATTTCACTAAAACATATTTCACTTCGATCTCATTCTATTTTTTATTTTTACAGGGATACTGCAAATATTCGTTTCTTTTCTATGGCTATTATAACAATGATCGGATGATAGGAGTGCTGAAGTTCAGACTGCCCCTGTCTTATCTGCTAGTGGGTGTGGGCATATTCGGATACAGCTTGATGGTTGTTGTTAGAACGTGAGACTCATGTTTATATTATCACTTTAATTTTATTTGCATCAATTTATCATGTGTTTCCTCACTGAAGGATGGCTCGAAATTCAAATGAAGGAGGTGAAGGGGCAGAAGAGGGGGAGTTCACCTTCAGTTGGAAAATGTTCACAAGTTGGGATTATCTCATTGGAAACCCTGAAACTGCAGACAATAAATATGCCTCCATTACAACAAGCTTCAAGGTTAGTAGATGTTTTTCCTGTTTTTAAGTTTTGCTGAATCACCCAACATTATTAGAGTCACTTAAAATCACTGACTGGCTTTGTATTCCAAGTTATATTTAAATATTTATTGATTTATTGTTGGATGCATTTCCCCAACTTTTAACTCACAAAATATTAATTAACTTGCCATTGTAGGAATCCATTGTAGATGAGCAGGAGAACCAAAAAGATGAGAACATCCACCTGCGTCGGTTTCTTCGGGTTTTGGCAAACTTTATGATTCTGTGCAGTCTTGGGGGGAGTGGGTTCCTCATCTACTATGTTGTGAAGCGGTCTCAGGAGTTTGCTGAGATGGAGAATGATGAACTCTCCTGGTTTGAAAAGAATGAGGCAAGTTCAAAACAAGCACAGCACATGACATTATTACCACATACTTAGTAACAGCCCATTATACTGTTCTTAGGTTGAGTTTGTAATGTCTCTTCTTGGACTGGTGTGCCCGCCCCTGTTTGAAACCATTGCTGAATTGGAGGACTATCATCCCCGTATTGCTCTGAAGTGGCAGCTTGGGCGTATCTTTGCCTTGTTCTTGGGAAATCTCTACACATTTCTCTTTGCTCTTTTTGATGAAGTCACTGCTAAGGTGAAAGCTTATAACAGCTAAAAAGAAACAATATATACATATACATACATACATACATACATACATACATACATATACATATACACACACACACACACACACACACACACACACACACACACACATATATATATATATATATATATATATTGTTTGTTTTTAGCTGGAGAAAGAAAAAATAATCATAATCATATATATATATATTGTTTGTTTTTAGCTGGAGAAAGAAAAAATAATCAAGAATTCCACCATATGGGCTTTGAATGAGTACTACGCCAACTACAGTAGTTTTCACAATACAACTGATATTCCTCCACCTAACATCCACCCTGCTGATGTAGTGAGAGGCCCATGTTGGGAGACTGGGGTGGGAATAGTAAGTCCTCAGCTTATATGCTATTATTCTTCATAACATACACTAAAATTCAATAATAAAGCTATGTCTATTTTATGTTTAGGAATTTGTGAAGCTTATTGTATCAGACATGCAAGTGACCTACTTGACGATTCTCATTGGTGACTTTGTAAGAGCAGTCATTGTGCGCTTTCTCAACTACTGCTGGTGTTGGGATCTGGAAGCTGGATTTGTAAGTATTTTCTGCTGTAAAAAGCATGTATCAATGGAGATGGCTATTTTGTTTCCTGGAATGTTCCACAGTATGGTATTAAACTTCATCTCACAGGTCAAACCTTTTAGTATTAGTATTTTCTTAGTCGTAAAAAACAGCTGCGGTTGAATAAAGGCACAAAAATTGAATTCATCCAAGAATTCAGACAAAGTAATAAAATAACCATGGCAGCACCCTGCACCTGAACATTACATACACCTATAAAAATTAATGATAACAATTCAATTCACAGGTCATTCACTAAAATACAGATGTTATATTTTCATTTTATGCTTTTATCGCTGTGTAAAATTAGTTGAATGGTTGAACTTTTAATTCAGTATTATCATTACACAACCCTTTTCTTGAGCAGTTACTGAACACTGTGTGACTCATTATTTGAATCCATGTCAACCCGATACTAGACAATGACATTTGGCATGTCAGACGATGCCTAACATGCAGAGAAACTGGATCTATGCCTGAGAACTTAATTACAGAGAGGGAATAGAGACCTGAAGAGGAGATGTAAAGTGATAAATCAATATGCTAATCATGTTGTTTTTTTCCAGCCTTCTTATGGAGAGTTTGATATTAGTGGCAATGTACTGGGACTCGTCTTCAATCAAGGAATGATATGGTAATGTGGTATTGGTTTAATCAGTGTTTCTCTAATGTTATTGAATTATTGATCTGATTTCCCCCTACCATCTAAAGACATACTGTTACATCGATTGGCTAGTTCACTGATTGCAATCTAAATCGCTCGATGTCAGCATTAACATTTGGCAGGAAAAAAATGCATTTGTTTATGATTGGTGTAGTCCATATAAGATTATGTATTTTTGTTATAAAATACATATGTAGGTTGTAATTTTATGTTTCGCTCATTGTAAACTGCAATATTGATCAAAATCGGCTTGATAATTGAAACTGGTCTAGTGGCATTAAATGATGTGTTTTTATTGTTGAAAAGTAGCTACATGACATTTTAAAACCCTATTTGTTTCACCTGTAGTCACAATATTATGACTGCAAATGGAAAGTAGCTTGTAGCTAAATCTGGCACAGCGCATCTTTTCTCTCTAAGATGAATGTTTTCTGTGCACTGTTCTTGTTGTTTATATATATAAATATATATATATATATATGTGTATATATATATATATATATATATATATATATATATATATAAATTGATTTCTCCATGTTTAAGAGTCATATATATATATATATATATATATATATATATATATATATATATATATATATATATATATATATATATATATATATATATATATATATATATATATATATATATATATATATATATGACTCTTAAACATGGAGAAATCAATAAAAATACAACTCTGCTGGGTAAGATAATAATGAGGGGGAAGCATTATAACATGGTTAAAAGCTCATAAAAATATATTTTACAACATACGTATGTCAGTATCTGAAATGTCTCTACAGGATGGGAGCTTTTTATGCCCCTGGTCTGGTGGGTCTAAACGTTCTCCGTCTCCTGACCTCCATGTACTATCAGTGCTGGGCGGTAATGTCCTGTAATGTCCCTCATGAGCGAGTCTTCAAGGCTTCACGGTCAAACAATTTCTACATGGGACTTCTGCTGCTTGTGCTCTTCCTCAGCCTGCTGCCTGTTGTCTACACTATTATGACATTACCTCCATCTTTTGACTGCGGGCCATTTAGGTCAGTAACTCTGGTTAGAATAAGATAAAACCTAATAAATAAATGCAAGATGAAAATACTACATGCAAGCCCAGCTGTTACTGGTCTTGTTTTGGACCTTTAACTAATGTGTAAACAAAGGGCATGTAGGGAAAATGATTCCCACTATATGGGCAACAGTTCTGTGAATATAAATATTAAAATGGATTTTGTTATAACCTGAATTTATTTTCCTTTTAGTGGTCAGGAGAAGATGTATGATGTTGTAATGGAGACCATAGAAAATGATCTACCTGCCTTCATAGGAAATATATTCACATATGCTACAAACCCTGGGCTGATTATGCCTGCAGTTCTTCTCATGATGTAAGTGCAATTTTGTGGCTGTTGTGTTGAACATCATTGGCAGTACTTTAATATAAACCCCTCACAATATCGCGATACTTAGTTTAATTCTCTTTTTTTCCTCTTCTAAGCCTGGCACTTTACTACCTTAATACAACCTCAAAAGGATACCAGCAAGCAAACAATGATCTTAAACGGAAAATGCAAATGGTCAGCATGTTATTTTCTTGGATTGTCTTTTTTTGTTAAAGTGGAGCTGATATAAAATTTTGTGTCATCAATATAGGCTCGAGATGAAGAAAAGAATAGAAGAAACAACAAGGACAGTACTAACCAAGTGATGAAAGACTTAGAGGCTCTGCTCCCCAATAGGTCTTTGGCACCCCCACCTGAAGAAGAGGAAGAACCACCCCCAGGTATGCTGTCTTGGCAACAAACACTAAATAAGGCTTTTCGAATTAAGCTGTCCTCCTGACCATGTTGTGTTTTTATTGTTCTCAGAGGTTGTGGTTGATAAAGGAAGCAAGTCACCCAAAACAAAGCCTAAAAAGAAAGCAGAAAAGGGTGAGAAAGAAGTAGATTTACAAAAAGAGGTGTCACTGGCTGCACAGAACCCCAAAAGTCCAGTGACACGAGCCCCTGGATCGAGAGGAGCACCTACTGCGAATCCTAAAGGGCCTCAACCTGGAAAGGAGCGCAGTCGAGGTGGGGCCTCTAAATAATATGAATACACACACTCAGCACTCTTTCGAGAATGAATAGTAGGTTTTCTTTGAATACATGATGCATATTAATAACATATTACAGTGGAGGACAATATTATATAAATGTGGTAGAATTTGAATCAGTTTACTGGTCATTAATGTGGTTTGATTTCATAAAGAAATCCATACTTGTACATTGCTGTATTATATTTTTATATTATTTTAATTAAACTTTTGTTATAAACAAAAACTTGCTTTTCTGTTTGACATTGTACTGTTGACTAATTTGTCCACATATGAAAGTCAATGACATCTCCAGTCTCAAAATGTATTGATTCAATAAAACAAAAGGAATATAGGAACATAAGATGGTGTGCTTTCAAATTTGTCAATCAGTCCATATGTGCAATTCTTTCAACTTTTTGTATTAGAAACATTAATCCAACTTTCGTAACCATCTGTGACAGTTTCATGGTCATTGTTATGACAGCCTTAATTGTATCGTCGGACATATTCTCCCCTGAAATTACATATTTATATTTACTAAAAGAACTACTTACTAAACTGAAAAAGATATCACATTGATAGGGATTAATCACAGTTCTCTGCCATTCCCTGACATTTTGAAGCCACTGGGCACTCATAGCATTGCAGCAGTTAATCCTAATAAATATATGTATATTAATTAGTTGCATCTCAGTGACTACTAACATAATTTGTAAACTCATTATGTTAAACTGTACTGGACACAGAAAAATGATTAGTAGGCCTTAATTATTATTATGTATTTTGTAAGTACTGAGTGCCTTTTCTTCAACAATGCATATGTCACCTGTCACATTTGAAAACACTGGGTTTAATAAAAAAGCCATGTCAGCACCAAGCAGATCCACCACACTCCAGTGTGGCCTCTTCCTGCTTTCCACTCTTTATCAATGCCACCACCTTATCAAACTATTTCTGATCAATCTATTTAGGCCAGATAAAAACACAATATATTTTCAGCATTTAATATGATACATTTTTAAATAGTCATACAGTGTTCTACTATACCTGTGATCCCTTGTCGACTAGAATGGGTTTTTCAGGACTTTGGCATTGGCCTTTTTTTTTTTTTTTTAGACTTGAAGAAACTGTTGATAGAAGGACTCTTTGACATACGCCCTAAGTTCAGCCAGACAAAACAGTCCCTGGTTAAAGAACAGACCACGGTGGGGCTTCTCCACTGGTTAATCTACTATAAACAAGCGTAAGGGATTTCTTTTAGCTACTATTAAGAACAATACCGACTAGTGGACCCAGTGAATTTGTCTGCGTCCATGTGATGTGCAATGGCGCCGCCTGCTGTTTGCCTACAGACTGACACCACATTCAGAGGAAGGAAGAAAACACAGAAAGCATTTTTTATTTTTTTTCATTTTGTATGATATTTTAGTTTTATTAGTCCAATCAGCTATTAAAACACAGGATGCAAGAAGTTAAGGCTAAAAGGCACAGAACCTCCATGAAGGTATGCATACAATTCACTGTCTCTTTATGAACTGTTTCTTTATTTGCAAAAGTCAAGGGCATTATTTATGTTGAAACCTTCACTGCAGAAACTTCAAATATCCTCCTCCTCCACAGTCTGTCCAGCTTTAAGTTTTGAGATTATCTTCAAAATAGATTGCACAAGAAAGATAAATGGGAAAGAAGAAAAACAAAACAAACAAAAACAAAAAACAAAAACAGATCAGATATGTAATATTTAGTGGTATTGAAATATCCCATTTGCTTGAATAGGTTGCCAGGAAGCACACCTCTTTCAAGTGAGCTATCTCTTTGCTATCCACAAATCTCTGAGCATTGTTGGTGATGGCTTTCACCCTTGTTGCATAGCTAAAATGTAAAAGACACATTAATTAGGGTTTGTTTCACATTGAAATAAAAATCTTGTTTAGAGGTTCTTTACATGAGTGAAGTAAGTGTCTCATCAAGGTTGTATTCTGATGGTGATATATTTACAATCATCAATGTTTTGGCATTACCCCCAAGCGAATCCTGCATGATCTGTCAAAACAATTAATACCTATAAATACTTTATTTTCTAAACACATGGTATAAATGAGAAGAACATAGAGATAGATGTTGTGCCTTTACCTGTGTAAGTTTGCTATTCCTGTAGGGGACATGGGGAAGTTCAGAGGACAAGGCAGAGATCACATCCCCCAAGGCACTTAGAGATTTGTTTATAGAGTTAGCTTCCTACAAAAAGGTAATTTTGTTGACTAAGCAAAAGCATAAAATATATTGACAGTACATAAAGAGCAGACCTTAAGCTTGTGGTCCTTTGCACCTGTCTTAGCAGCCCTCTCACTTCCAGCCAGATCTACAAGGCTCAGTTTTCCAGTGCTGATACTCCCATTGGTCAAGTTCTTGCTCTCAACTTTGATGCCAACTATAAGGTGGGACCGAGAGCTCTCTACATTCATCTCTGACAGAGAAAAACATACAAAAACTTAAAAACTAGTGAATTAATTTGAAACTGGATCAGATTATATTCACAAAATAAATTTGGGACCTCAGATTGAGTTAGACATTTTAGCTACAGAGAGTAAATATAACATTATTAAAGGATATTTATAAATTTTGTTTTTAATTACAGTATATTGGGATACATTTTAAACTAAATATATGAGTTAACTGTAATTTGGGTCCAACTGTATTAAACGATCAATAGCTTTGTTTAAAATGAAACCATTATATCTCTTACTGGTTTCTGCAATGTGTCTGTTGGCACAGGCCTGCTGAAACAGAGCACAGAGCTGCTGGGCACTGGACGCCTCCTTGGTCTCTGCTCCCTGGGCGAACACCACTCCTTTCCTGTTCCTCTTGATCTCTACACGTTTGCTCTGAGCCTCTCCACTCGCACTCACAAAGAGGTCCTGCAACCGGTCATTGTACAGCTCCAGCATGTAGGCAGACACCTGAGAGAACACAAACGCTGTATAGTAAGACATGGTTTATTTTGAGCCTTTGTTTAAATTTTACCTTGAAGTTGAATTTGGTGTTGTTTTCTTGTATTATATCAAAAATAGCATTGAAAGATCTTGGCATAATTCCTGGGTTCTTCCTTTCCTTGTCACCAACCATAGTGTAGGTCTTTCCAGAGCCTGTTTGGCCGTATGCAAAAATACAGACGTTGTAGCCATCAATGGCAGACTGGATTAACCTGGAGAAATATTTTTAATCGAAGTCAGTGTTTGTCGATATAATGTTTTTAGTTTTTTTTTGGTACAGACAGTATATAAATAAAAATATGAATCCCAATGAACACAACCTTTAACTAAACCTAATGAACATGCAGTCAAGGGGAAAATTACTATTAAACATTAAAATAAGGCAAACATTGTGCCAATATGTAATTATAAAGTGTAAAGTATAAGGTCTCACCGGCCTGCGTCTTGAAACAGGTCCTCTTGAGTGGCTTCAGCACTAAACACCTGGTCAAACTGAAACTCCCTGGGCCCCCTGGGGGTCTCCACATTTACTGAATAATCATCTATTTTCTCCACAACAGCAGCACTGCCCTGAGCGGCCTCTGTCTGATTCACAGGGCGGATACGGCAAAACACTCGGATTTTACCTGAGTAAAAATGAGTAAAAAAAGTAGGCTATAGATAAATGGACAAATATTAGGCAAAACAAAGTAATACCTACCTTTCAGGTCTTCCACTGTATTGTAATACTTCTTTCTCAATGTTCTTTCAGATGTGTAGTTTTCAATTAGCTTCTTTTTTTCTTCTTTCATTAGTTTCATCTGGGCACAAATGCACATACAATTAATTATATAATTGTTATCTTGACATAAAATAAATGATTAAATAAATAAGAAAATATACCTCATCCTGGAGAGTAATAAACTTCTCAGCAAAACCTTTGACTCCCTCTAAGGTTTGAACTGTCCCTTGTCCCAAAATGTCCTCCAGTTCAGATATGGCATCACACTCTAGTGTGCATGCAAAGAATTTTAGCATAACAAAAACAGTATTTTACTCCCTTGCATCTTTGATTATACACTGAGGACTGGGGTGGTGCACTAATTACAACATGGGGAGTTTAGATTTTTCCAGGTTGCATTCAGTTGGTTAGAGGATGGGCTAATTCAAGGAATCAACCTATAATCCATTCAACTCTGTCACTATTCAAACTTGTATTTGAAGATACCATCTTTATTTACCACTGATAGCAGGAACTTGTCCTGTTTTTATACAGAACAATGCCAGCTGAGTAACTTCTAACTCTTTTACAGTTTCTTGTAGTAAAATAAGCCGTGACTCATATTCTTCTGATCTAAAAGAGGAGACATTTAAAAATCAGCTGCAATTTACAGCATTTGGGTGTATAGTGAAATCACAAATATCTATAGTCTCACCGGTCCTTGTCTCCTCCCTCTGTGTCTAGTTGGCCAAGTTTTTCCTGGGTCTCTTTCAAAAAAACTTGATTCTCTTCAATCATTTTGACTAGAAGAGCTTTACTTTCCTCTGTGGCTCTACAAATAGCTTTAGCCTGGAGAAGATAAAATAAAATAAACCACACTATGTCAGCTTGTATGCCATATTGAAGCACATTCAGTTAAACAGCACCTTTTGGATGACGCTAGATAGTAGGACAGTGCATGCTGGTAAAGGCACAGATGGAATTGGACTCTGAGACTCCAGCAGCTCTGTTATTTCCCTCTCCCTTTTGTACAAACTGTCCCTTAACTCCTCGAGGCGGAGTTTGGCGCCCTCTAACTGAGGATTTGACTCATTGCAGGCCTGTGAAACGTAAGCAAAAAAAATAAAAAATGATAATAATAAAAATAATAATAAAAACATTGATTGTACACTTCAAACAAGAAATGAACAGAAACAACTGGCTTTGGTCTCATCTTCTTTGGTTTTTTGATCCTGGGACTGGACAAGCATCTCTTGAACTTTTCCCACTTCTTGTCGAGCCATTTGCAATTCCTGCAGTGCTTCAGACAATATAAAGCAGGTATATTAGTGCAATAATAAGTTAAAAGTAAGTAAAAAGTAAATATGTAACTCAACAACAGCTCAAGAGTGGTATCATGTTTTATCAAATATTTGCCCTAAATCTAAATGGGCAAAATGGCAAGGAATACCTAAAAGACTCACTTGAAGCCTGGTGGCTGTGCAGCATGTCCAGTCTATTTGAAAACATTTCCAGCATTTTGCTCTGAATGGACAAATTAAACATAAAAAGAGCCCTGAGTTTCTCATTAACCATGCAATGCTCAAATCACACCACAGGGGGAAGTAGTGACCAATAGTGCATATATTCAAGCCCAACCTTTTCCTTCTGCCACTGTAAAGCCTCTTCTTTACTCCTCCTTCTCTCAACTTTTTGTTCCTCTAGCAGTTGAATGTTCTGTGCAGACAACGCCTACAAGACAAAATACATAAAGTACCTCTAAAGTACACCTAAAACATATAAAATAACAACAGACGCTGTCAGAAAACTGTAAGAGGGCTAACCACCACTTGTTTGTCCAAATCAGCATTCTTCATCTCCACTTTTTCTTGATATAGATGAAGCATCTTTTTTAGACTATTCAGTTTGTTCTGGTAATGAGATCTGATACGATGCGTTATGCATTCCTGTTCACGATAGAAATGTGTTAATAATTTCAAAATTTTACTTGAAATCTCTATGCCTGAACAAAAATAAGAACCTGGTTTTCTCTTGCAGTTGATTTGAAGCTACTCTCCAGCTCCTTCACTATGTCCAGATGTGTTCTTTTGAGTCTTTCGATGTCATTAGCTATCTATATATATATATATATATATATATATATATATATATATATATTATATATATATATATATATATATATATATATACACACATACACACACACACATATATATATAAGATGAGCCGCACAGTGGTAACCATGTGAGAGTGAGCAATAACAGCAGTTTACATGATGCTCTCAAACTAAACTACAAAGTCTGTAATACACATATACCTGAGTAATACACATCTCTGCAGACTCATAGGGAATGTAAATCTTCTCAGCATCCAAAGTTTGATCAAACTTTGTCAGTCCTGAGCATAGAAGATTGGAGCTCTCTTAGTTAGTACATAACATAACATAACATAACCAACAATCAGTGAATATATGCACTCTGTACCCTGGTTAAACTCTTGTCTGTGATGCATTCTCCGATTGCTACTGAACCATCGTCTGAAAGCAGCCCACCTCTTCATCCACACTGACTTGTGACGAGCGGGCGCTAAACAGTGGAGGAAATATTCAGTATAACAGATGGTCCAATGATGTCTCACAGTAAAGTTCAAATAACACATAGTTTCATTTTCTCTAACACTTTTCTATATGTGAAAAGTGAAAAAATAAAGAAATTGTTTGTGGATGCTTGCCAAGTGGTGGCCGTATTCATTCACAAATTTTGTATATCATGACATCTCTGTGTCTTGGGCAATGACTTGAGCCAAAAAAGAGGGACATTTTTAGGTTTCATTATCCTGTTTTATGACACAGTCGTTTTTGCTCAAGGTGTGAATTCACATCATCAATGTAAACAAGTGTCAATTATGCATAATGCACACAACGCAAAACCAATAACGGTGCTTTGCATTTTATTATGTTAATTTATAATCATTTTATTATCATGTTTAAATGTTGCTAAAGGTGAACAAAACATGCAAGACAATACAATACAGACAATACAGCAAAGATTATGATATTATATTTATAACAGATTTAATATATTTTTATTCATTTTATAAATACTATTTAACATGCATTTATTATGAATTATTACAGTTGTATTTGCATTATGTATTATATTTTATTATTATGTTTGCTACTCACACAGCATTGTGTTACTTATAATTGCATAGATTAGAGATATGCATAGGAAATTATTTATACATTTCTGCTTCTGAGTTTTGACTTGGCATTTTTCTTTTCTGTGAATACTTGATCAGGACGTTACCTTCCACTCAGCTGGACCTTTCAGTGGAGAAACACAGATAATGACATAACAGAGGGAACAGAGAGTACCCACATAATTATTTGTAGACTGGTCTCACCTTGCCTGTTGTCTCTGTAGCGGTCCACCTGTGTGTTGAGAGGCTTTGGATATGGCCTGTCTTCTCTCCTCTCTGGGACACTTCCTGGTAGCTCCTCTAGCACAGCAGCCGTGGCTGCTCCACAGACGGGCCTGGAAGACACTCCAGGCTCCTCGGAGGTCGGCGAGGTTGTCTCCCAGGCAACTGAGCAAATATAGATAAAGATTTGAACCAGGATGTTGAAGTCACCAAACAGCCTACTTATAAATGGAGATTTTATTATATTAAAGGTGCAATGTGTAACTTTTCTGGTAGAGGACCTGTCAAATGCTTTTTGCCATGGAAACGTTATTGCTTTGTCTGGAATCACAGTATGGTATTAAACCTGTCTATCTTCATGGAGACCAACCCTGACCAAGTTACAGGTCAGATCTGTGGAGAGGAAACCCCGCTCACATTGAGAATGCCTCTTTTTCTAGGTATTTCTGAGTCATAAAAGCACCTGTAGTTAGTTACACAATGCACCTTTAAAGGCAATACAACTTTTAGGATCAGAAATATTAAAACATTACTTCCGACGATACATTTTCCCACAAGACAAGAGAGTCTAAAGAATACACCTACAATTATTAAAATGGTTACAACAAACGTTATATTTTGTGGCCTACAGTATTACGGCTGTGTTGTTTCATGCCAGGTTTTTCCCTGATTCCAAGCAGATGCAGAACGATGTGGTATGCAGCAGAAGCTAAACTTCACTTACCAGTTTCTACCCCATTATTCCTTTTAATTTTTTTCATTTATCACAATAATTGAGAAGTACATAAGTTACACATACGTTGTTTTCCAGTTGGTGCCACTGCATGATTTCTTCCAACTTTCTTTCCCAGGTAAGTCAGAGTATATCCTCTATGAGATCCAGCTGGATTCATATACATCTTGTTTAATGACACTGTTCAGTAACAATCCCACTTCACCCTGAAAAAAGCAAAACAGAGCAGAAGAATTTTATACAAGAATGAAATTAATATTTAAAACTAAAATGAGAATGTCTTGGCATTTCTGGGAGGGAATAAACTCCTGAGCTTTTCCTCTGCCTTTAAACTATTAGCAGGTGTGAAATGGTACAATGCACAGCACATTCTGAAATGAAATTATTCTGACACTTTGAGCTACATTTTAATCCATAGAAATTCATCTAACCAGAACATTCCTGACTGTATTATGACAGGCTGGTGCAGGTTATGTTTATTTAAGTCTTTACCACTTCACCTAGGTTGAACTTTTCTGTATATTTCTGTATAAACAGAAAAATGGTAATGTTTCAATAAAGTGTAGTTTTATAGAGCAGCATTACATTTTTAAATAGTTATTCTAGTGCTCCCCTAATAACCCTCCCATGCCTGGTCACATAATATCTATAAATAAAAAATATAATGTACAAAATATGCTACAGACCAGAAGATAAAATTTCAAAATAACCAACATGCAAAACTCACCTTGTTAAATAGAAACTCCTGCTATGTCTGAATCAGACTGTGATGTGAGGGCTCCACTCTGATCGTCCCCGGGAACCGAACTCTCAACCATCTTTAATTATTAAACCAAAGAGATGAGGTTTCAATGGGTCCTAGCTTCAGCCCCATAAGAGAATGTATGTAAAAAGATGCTCTAAACACTACTCGAGTTTCCTGTGTGTAAGATACAGATTGTAACTGGACCCTGGTTTCACATGTGTTGTAATGTAGATATTCAGAGTAAGCTATGTTTTTGTTTGAGTTCATGGTGACCACTGATCACAGTTAAGCTACTGCTGACATTTAAGAGGCCAACTTGGAGCACGGGGAATTTAATCTGCACCTTAATCTTACATTAAGGTGAAAAAACAAAACAAAACAATAAACCAGACTGAGTAATATGATCAAGATATAAGCCTACGTGTCTTCACTTTTACCAAATGTGTGTCTATATTAGATTCAAATTATGAAGGCTATTGACACAATCTGCTGTGAGAAAAAGAAAATGTATTATAAGACAAAAATCAAGGGTAAATGCTATGTGTGTTTAACACTGAAATTTAATACATTATAATAATTAGTTTCTTACTGACCTCTTGTACCTGGTGTTTATCTCTTTGATTCTATCTTGCAGTCCATCCAATTGCTCCATCCTCCTGCCTTTGTTCATAAGTAATCCGAAGAGAAAAAAAAGACACGGTGTGATTTAGGCCTAGACCTAACTTCTCTAACTTGCAATTTACTTGTTTTATTACTCAAAACATTGGGCATAAACCTAAATAAATCATAATTTCTTATAGCCAATGATGTCACTAGGTAATAAGAAAATTAATATTTTAATGCATGATGACGTGAAGTACAGTGTTGCAGCAGTCATACAAATGTGTCATTATGCTGTCTAGTAATCTTAGTGAAAGCATTACACCTTGTTGAGGCACGCTGACAGGTGAGGTCAGGATATGGAGGTTACTAAGACAACATGCCACACCTCATTGCATCATCACTGAAGAACCAGAGGGATCGCGAGCACTGTAATGAAGGCTAATCATTAAACAAACAAACAAAAAACTAATTCAGTCAAACAGGGCATAGATCTATTTGACCAAATTGAGCTTTTATGAGATAAGAATAGTTAAGATAAGATTGTTAGTGGCACTGATAGGAATGTGAAGAATTTTACACTGCTCAATCATGTGACAGTGTGGCTACTGTCTAAACAAACCATGCTATGATTGTAGAGGAGGAACACTACATAGAAACATTAAGCAAAAACTATAAATTAGTCTATAGGCTACTACATGCGAAGAACACTACGCAATTAAAAAAATACAAAAATAAATGAATAAATAAAAATTTGTGACTACCGATTGAAATGACTATTGTCTATGTCATAGGTAATGCATGACCTGTTGAATGATAGGAATCAAAACGGTCTTATGAAACTCGTTTCCATTCGCCGTGAAACTTCCTCGTTTTTAGACACAATGGTTAGTCCACAGCTGCTGCGCAGTCTATGTGCAGCGGTGAGGAGGGGATTTGGGCTGATCTGGACTCGCCCTTAACTAGGTGGAGTTTATCCTGAATATATATATACGGTCTTTGCCAATGCTACGACCCTGGAAACTTAGCACATCTTTCTTCTCGTAAAGTCGACCGGTAAGAAACTTTATTTTATTATAATCCAGCCCAGTAGTCCTAAATCTGATACCGCTATTGAGTTTGAATAGACCACTGATTTTCATGTGGTCGTTAAAATCTCCTTTCCCTCAAGGTACTGCTGTAACCAGTGAGGGTGTGGCTTTCGAAAAGCGGTGGTCTTTATAGTGCTTTTTTGAGAGCTGAACAGATCATTAAGTTTTTCTTCAGTTTGAGAGAAACAAGAACTGGAAAGCAATGACTAGCCTGATTATAGTCTTTTGAAAGTTTCTTGGGGCGTGGCCACAGCGTTCCCACATGCTTTTCGTTAGACTCTATATATTTTGATTCATAGTCAATACAAAACCGACATTTTCAATGCCATGCAAATACAAATAGCTACATAATGAAAATGAATTACAATTAGAAATATATTAAAGTCTGGAAGACCTAGACCTAGACTAAACCTGTTGAACTTGTTCACTCCATAGACTCTTTATAAGATATAATTGATTTTTTTTCTTGGTTTAGGAAGACTGCAACAGAAACACCATGTCTATCATTGAAGCCCTCATGAGTCAGGCCGTTTATATGGGCATGCCAGATGAGTCAGTGAGTATACTGCTCCCGTTGCTAGGGCCAACAACTCTTGTTTTTTCTTCCCCCCCTTCCCTTTTCCTGTGGTATGTTAGAGTGGAAAAAATGAACAGGCAAGTTAAATAATGAGAGCAAAGCATGCATTAGCTGAAGTGTAAAAATACTATATGAAGCTTGAACAAGTATATTTTCTGCAAATTTACAGTCAAGTTTGATGAGTTTCGTTTAAAGCTGAACATTTCATATCAAGTCTAGGTCTGAGTTTGTGAGTCATAGGAAGGAATTTGTGCCCCTCCCTTTACAAACTCCTCTGCTTCTTCTTCTGTCTCTTCATTTGCTTTAAGTGAACTGTAAGTGAGGTTGCACTGAATGTATGTGCCTATGTTGAGACAATCCCATGACAGTGGTACAAATGCATACTTAATCAGTTTATTTGGGGAATTTAAGCGGATGCAGTGCCACATCACACTCGTTACCCATCATAATATTTACACAACATACGTAATCGCTGTTATTATACTGCAGGTGCTGAAAAATGAGGGAACAGTTACTGAAGCCCCAAACTTCAGTGCAAGTGGAGATGCAGGCGTCCTGGAGAAAGCCATCAAGACAAAAGGTGGTGTTGGATTTTAAGCATGTTTGAGCATGTCAGTGTATCTTTTTATATAGACTTAACAGTTTCAGTGTTGGTGTCTGGCGCCATCTGCTGGGCAAATGCAAAAAGTAGCAACTTATTTCTATGGCTGTATATTGGACAATTTGTGAAGAAAAACTGTCAACGTTACAGGAGTGGATGAAAACACCATCATTGAAATCCTGGTCAAACGAAGCAATGCGCAAAGGCAGCAAATCAAAGCAGCTTACCAGCAGGCCAGTGGCAAGGTAAATAGATGCTATGTTAGTACATATGAACTGGAGTGGTATGAATGTAGTAATAAATCAGGATCAGGAATAAAAAAAAAAAGATTTATTCTATTAACCTGTCCACGGCATCACTTTCTGAGGGAAGTTGAAAATTCAAATTAAACAATTTGAATAATTTTATTTTTTCAACACAAAATATATTAAGTAATATTCGACGCATTACATACAAAAACAAATGACAATAGAAATATTAGAATAATGTAAAAAATCTAGGATATTGTATTATTAGTACTGTATTATTTGTGTTTTTATTATATATTTCTATGGATTGTCTCTCAATTGTGCATGTTTTAATAATGATTGCTTTCCCTAGAGTCTTGAATCAGCCCTAAAGAGTGCCTTGAAAGGAGACCTGGAGGAAGTTGTGTTGGCTCTCCTAAAAACACCAGCCCAGTATGACGCTCAGGAACTTAAACAGGCCATGAAGGTGCACACAAGACACAATGATCGTATCAAATACACTAAAGACCCAATAGAGAGGGGTGCTTTGGCCTTTATCTGCTATTTTCAGATCTACTATGAACTCATTTCTTCCTTTAATGGGTGTAATGTTTGTCTCATGTCTTTCTACATGCATTTCTGCTATTAGGGTCTTGGTACAGATGAAGACACCCTCACAGAGATTTTGACTTCACGCACCAACAGGGAGATTCTGGAAATTAAAGCTGCCTACAAGACAGGTACAACTTACCAAAGAATTCCTTCTTCCCCTTTTCCATTATTTTCTTTTACTAAATACTTCATTTATGAATTCCGTTGACAAGAATACAAAAAAGATCTTGAGGATGACATCAAGTCTGATACAAGTGGTGACTACAGGAAAGCCCTGTTGGAACTCTGTAAGGTACATAGATAATAACCACATCAATACAAAATTTTAACTTGAATATATATATATATATATATATATATATATATATAGTATATATACATAAAATATATGTGTGTGTGTGTGTGTATTGATTCAAATTCTCAGGCTAGCAGGACTGAGGGAGTTGTTGAAGCGCTGATTGACAGTGACGCCAGGGCTCTGTATGAAGCTGGAGAAGCAAGAAAAGGCACCGACTGCTCTGCTTTTATTGAAATCCTCATCACCAGAAGTGCCCCACATCTCCGCAGAGGTTAGAAAAATGGCAAACATCCACAGTTTTTCTTTTATTGATAGTAGTGGCTAATGCATTTCATTTTCCGTAGTGTTTGAGAGGTATTCCAAGTACAGCAAAGTGGATGTGGCCAAAGCGATCGACCTGGAGATGAAAGGAGATATTGAAGCCTGTCTCACAGCTGTTGTGAAGTGCGCTGGATGTAGGCCAGCTTTCTTTGCAGAGAAGCTCTATTTGGCCATGAAGGTACATGATAATGTGTGTGTACACATGTTCAACTATTATCTAGAGCAATACAAATTTTCTAAATTGATATAACTTTTTACAGGGTAAAGGAACACGAAAAAACATCCTCACTCGTATTATGGTGAGTCGCTCTGAAATTGACATGAAGAAAATAAAAGAGGAATACAAAAAGAACTATGGCAAAACACTGTACCAAGATATCCTGGTAAGTCTCTGATCATTGCCCCTGCACAAAGAGTGTCAAATATTACATAATAACACTTTTTACATAATCAAAATTAAATAAAAAATATTTTATTCTGTACAACTTTTAATTTTTCAGGATGACACTAAAGGTGACTATGAGAAGATCCTTCTTGCGCTCTGTGGAGAAAACTAAAGTGTAATGAGCTGAATTAGGAAAAATATATTCCAGCAACATTTTCTGACACAGTGCTTTCTTCTGGAGAAATTGCCATCATGAACTCCCAGGCTCAGCATGTTGTATGTTAGCAGTCTGAAAACTTTCACAGCAGCGGCAGTTTCAACAAACTTCACCTCAGCCCAGTTACAACTTGTGCTTTCAGTATATACTTGTTGCTTCCAAAGAAACCAAACCTGCAATGAACAATACATGTGCCAATTATATAAAAAAATAAATATGTTAAATAAAAAATGTAAAAGATAAACTTTTGTTTATTGTTTCTCGACTTTTGGCATTGCATATGGGCCTATTGACTATCAATAAAGGTTTAAATAGTCGTTACTGACTAATGAATAATTATTGTACATCCTTTATGACCGTAAAGAGAATACGTCTCAAAGGTGACTAGATCCACATGGGGGCAATAATGCGCCCTGCATAAATATTATAGTCATAGAAGAAGATTGCAAAATGGCGCACTCCACAGTGTTTGTTTATGTCCAGCACTCGACGATGCTACGCTATTGTTTTTATGTTGCGTTAAGCACATATTTCATTGAAATAAAGTAATACGCTAATTTATTTGCTGATAAATTTTTCCAGAAGATATCTGTTAAAAGGTTTATGTATGTTAAACTGAAGGCTACAGTGCGTTTATATTGTAAGACGTTCCGTTAGCATGGTATGATGCTAATATTAACCCCTTCCTTTCCCTTCAAATACGTATAGTGTAATTTCAGTAGTCTTTTCGTTTTCTAAAACATCGATCGGTTTGTTCTGGTTATTCACCTCTGCTGAGAGACATCTATACTTATTAATGTGGCTCAGTTGCAGGTAACAACCTCAACTATCTTTATTCATAATACAAATGAAAGTGTCTTTATTACAGACTGATTTATGATACTGCATCATTTGATGTAAAATATGTAATTTGAAAGGAGGCCTGTTAGAGAGATCGATTGGATTACTATTTATAGGTCCACCAGTGAAATTTACAAACATCCATATTTTTGCGTTTTATCCAGATGAGACGAACAATGCATGAGAAGTTAATTATATAACTTGCGCACAGGTAGAGTTAGGGTTAGGGCAGACAGTGAAGTCAGACCTGTGTTATGATAGTAAACCCACTGACAACCCTCTTAATGTAAAACACAACCTGGGCTGTGTAATAATGTCTTTATAATTATTTTAATGTCCACACAGACTTCATTTGACATTGTACACATGTCTGTCCTCTCAAACACTACATTAAGAGTTATTATACTTCACTTAAATAGCTTGCTTACTTAGAGGGATTTGTGTTTACATGTGTCCTACGGCAGATGTGCTATATTTTCTGTCTCTTTGTACTTAGAATAATCCAACATTCACTATTATGTAACAACGCTGCTGAATACAGATATTTATAATCTGAACATGCTGGAGTTATGACATCAGCTGGCTACCGACCATGACAAGCATTTGGGGGAGCATGAAAATCACTCGGTCATGGTAGGTCCTTACATGGAACAAGCTTTTTGAATCTATTAAGAAAGATACATCACCATCTGCTTTTCTGTCCATGTTGCAGAGTACAATGGGTTGTCAGAAGACTTGTAAGGTAGAAAAGCTACTGAAACAGACACAAAGAGATCTAGTATGGAGCCAAAGACAGAGGATAACTACACCAAAGAGGACCAGCCATAAGGTGAGTGATTTCTGTTGTTCATCAAAGCTGCGGCGTGCATGCATAATATGGGAGTCAGTCATGTTCATGCACTGGGAGGATCAGCACTGTTGATGCCTACAGCCATAATCTGACCTTGTCCTGCACTGGCTGACAAAGACCTCTCTTTACCACATCCACTATATGTAAAACCCATTATTACTACATGACTCTAGTTTTATTTGGCCAGTGTTGGGAATGTGCATAGTCAAAATTTAGTACATTTGCAGCATTTTAACATTTAATTTTATTATAGTTTTTGCATCATACCTGATAGTTCTTTTTCATGTGCACACAGTATTACCAGAAGTGTTGATCACACCTCCTACAGTTGTGTGAAGGCAGACCTGAGACCCTGTGACACTCTTTGACAGCTGTCTGAGTGTGTTGGGGTTTTTTTTCCGATAGGCAGGTTGCCTATCATTGTTATATACATACAAATATAATGGTGCAGCTAATGCAGTTTGCACGTTTAGATTACTCATCATGGTTTGATATTTGTGAAAATCAATACCTTTGCCTGCAAATTGAAGACGTTATTCCTGGTTTTGCAGTACAATGTTGCAGTGTTGAGATATTTTGACCCTGGATATCTGCTGCCACTGTTAGATGGGCTAACCACCTTTGCTTTATGTTTACTGGGTGTATGGGAGCAGTTGACATGAGTACTAGTTTATGTTAGGTTGTGAGAGTTAAACCTCTGTGCTACGTAAAATCAGTTGGGATTGTGGCTGGGGGCCCCCCGATGGAGGGGGAGGGACAGATTTAAACAGAGGTAAGGAAGTGCTGTGGTTGCTAGGCATTTGAGCTAAGGCTTATCTGTTTGGGGCTGTGTCTTTCTCACAGTTGAGTGCAACAGCAATCTACAGAGGGCAGCCTTGCTCCTCCACATTCTCCTGTAGTGAAAAAAAGCTCAGGATGCCCCAAATAATCCTCTTTAATACCCTTCTGCACTTGATATTCTGCTCCCTGATTGGATGGCTGCTGTTTGTGATAGCTGATTGGTCTTGCTGAGTGTTCAGCGAGTGAGGTTTTCAAGCCAAGCCTCCTGGGAGCCTCTGTGGCATAATGACCCATGACGAGGCAAGGCAGAGTCCCTGTATCATCTTACAAAACGGCTGGAAAGATATGCATGAAACCAGGGAGGACACTCCAAAGAAAAATGCCTTAGATCCTCACACGACCTTGCCTTTTAGATGATGGACGCTCAGTTGCAAAGATTATTTGTACAAAGAGTAGTTACTAAAGACAAGAGTGTTTGTGTTTGATTTCTGAGTTTGGTCTGATTATAGAAAAGCTTCCTGGATGGGGAATGCCGCTCCAAGCAGCTGCGCACTGCACTGCCTCTGCACCCCTGCGTGCCTTAGTGTGTATGAGCAGGCAAGTGTGAGAGCGGCGGAGAGGAGGAAGGGGGCGTGTTGATGTGTGTGCTCCACTGCACAGCCCCAGTAGTGTGAGCCCAGTGATGCTTGCTCGCTGTCTCTCTCTCTCCTCCTCCTTGCACTGCCTGGCTGTGCTTCTTTCTGCCAAGCATTGATGAACCATTTTATGCTACGGAGCTGCCATATACATTGCCTGGGTCTCGCGGCTGGATCGCTTGCTGTCCCATCATTACTATTACGATCTGCTACCATTGCTCTTCTCTTTTAACATCTGATGCTAAGGTACTGTACCGTCTACCGTCTGATGTCAAACTGTATCTGTTTTTACAGCACACAGCGCTTGTTCTGCTGGCTCTGCTGCAGGATTGCTGTGGTGCCTCTGTTGCCAGGATAAGAATTATGGGAACATGTCAGTGTCCCAGCGGCTAGTCATTGAAATTCATGCTTGCGTTAGAGCTGATTATTCTTATGTGTACCTGGTTTGTCCTGTTTTAACACATGGACTAAGAAGAGATAGGGGACACACCACTTCATTTGTATGCAAAAGGATTTGCCATCCAATTTAAGTCTTTCAGGTTTCTCTCTTCTTCATTTGTTTTGAACAACACAGCTAGGCTTGGCTTGTCTGTGTATGAGTAGCACAACATGGTCTTTATGCCTAACTCTGTTTGGCTATGGTTGTTATAATAATTACCATCCAAGGAGTTTTTAGTGGAATCGATGTGTAGAGGGCTTGGTAGTGTCAACTTAAGATAGGAAAAACAGTGTTACTGGTGTGCACATGAATGCTAATGGTATCAGGGCTGTCATGCATTGTCATATGTATTATTCATTTAGGCGACTTCATTCCAGATGAATGTTAACTGATATGGGCGGTGATTTGTTGGATCTCAAAACATGCCCTTGACTGTCAGTGTGATTTTGAGTATGATCTAACTCACTGATAAATAAATATGTAAAAATACTGGGTGTTTCATGTGCTGTTTTATTGGTAAAGTATGCACTCTGAAGCCACAGAGCCTATAGATGGCAGTCATGAGAGGGGCTGGATTGTGGGAATCTATAGGGCCAATGGGAAGCCAGCAGCCTCTGTGATTTTGTCTGTCAGAAGGGGTTTATGTATGAGCGCAGGTATGTGTATTTGCAGCATCCCAAGGTCACTCATTTGAAGAGCTTCTATAATTAGGCCTGTCAGTCTCCCTCACACCAGGTACAAGAAGACGCTCTGACAAAACCTCCATTCATACACTGGCTCTTCTGCCCACCTTGACAAGCAGGCATAGCCATTCATCAATTTACTGGCTCACCCTGATCTCTTGGCAAGTGACTTTTATCTTCACTATGCACTAGAGACATAGAGAGAAACAGTCATATTTGTCAAATAGTCATAAAGGTACGGCTATATGAATGGTTGATAACATGGCGGTAAAATAGTATCATGTGTATGTACTGTCTATGCATATGGCTATGGTGTTAAAGGGGTGTGGCAAGATTTACCACCAGTTACTACAAAAATACATTTTGCTTGTATTTATATGTGGTGCTACTTTCTGTTCCAATACTGTTTCAATAGGCAAACACCCTCAGCAGTATAGCAGTGCCGTTTATCAAAGCAAATGAACAGCCCAGCATTGCACTTTGGTGCACATTGAAATGCCAATTTTTACTTGTACATTTGTACATTTTTATTTTCATATTATGGTCTAGTATATACAGTAAACTGCATTTTATTTTAGAATATAATAATCCAATTCCATATGAGTGTTTCCATATATTGTTTAAGAGAAACAATGGGTGTGTGGCCTTGAAGGGCATGAATCAGTGAGACTGCTTGTCATTTATGTTCATGTAATACCAAGGTGCAGACTACAGTGGCTCCGTGTGAGAGAAGCATGGCTCAGCATGGTCCTGAGTGTCTGTAGTAACAGCAGATGATGCTGCTATTGGCGCCTGGATGTGGCCTGGATAAGGCACGTGACCTCAGCCGTGTAGAGCATTAGTGATCTGAACAGCAGGGTCCACGACGTTACATAACACCATCTTCACTGGGAAATCTCTGTCAAAATGGATACAGGAATCTCAGTGACTGTAGCTGTGAGTGCATTATCATTATCAGAGAAAACATTACTCGGATTTGTGGGTGGATGGGCCAGTATATGACAAAGCTGGTTTGTCCCTTCACTAGCCTGAAGTATTTTTACATGAAAGCAGATTTCATTAGATAAACAAAGTACATGATGTAGTCTGACTTTTTGCACAGCATTGTTTACCTTTTCATGTATTAATATTTAGTCAGCCATTATTTAAATTATAACAAAGTAACACAGCAAATAAATGACATGTGTTGACCCCACCGTTACTGACATCCTTCAGTAAAGTCACCTAGAGCACCACAATGCTAAGGTAGTGTAAGGCTAGATTTGGTTGTAGTCATGTGACTGCTGTGCCCAGCACAGTTTGAGTTCTGAAGAGCAGGAGGTCAGAGGAGTGGATCCCCTAATCACCACAGGGATTTGACTGCGTTCATAATCGATTGTTTCCGGACTTGATTAGTAATGTCCCTTCTGTTAGACAGACTGCACTGATTTTGACAGCAGTACTGAGCATTCACGTATGAATATTATTTTTATGTTTTGTCAGACTGATGCTCCAGATAGCAAAACTCAATTCTAACTGCATAAATAGTTACTGGTATGTTGAATATGTATGGATACTTTCCGCCCTGACCTCCATAGTCATATTACTAGCTGTTCATCTTTATTGAATATAAAATCATCTTTCTTTTTGTTTAGTTTGGCCAACAGGTTTGACCCTGGACATGGCGCACTTTGTTCAATAGCTAGAAAAATTATTGCACTGACAAATAAATATTGATTTCCTCAATACATAGTACATCCCATTGTAAACAACAACTGTTTTGGGTGCTGAGTGACCTCTCTCAAGTCATACCTTTTTACATGTTGTTAAAGATGGATATTTATATCTGTTTGCGAGAGGCAGGTGATTATGTTGATTTTTGCCTAAATCCACAGGCTGCGGCTGCGATTATTTGTGTGGATTTGCTTTGTAATAAAAAGCTTATCTGCACAGGTTCAGTTCATGTCTCTCTGGTGCTGGTTCCTTTTGTCCATCTAATCTTCCCACTGACACTGTACTCACATGGCTCCATGACTTTAATTATAATACATGATAGTACTATGTATATTTTAATTGTAGAAATTAATTATAACTTAAATAATTGTACCATTTTATTGAATGGCTATTGCAAATTTTACTTTACTTTACTTTACTGTACTTAAAATTTCTCCATACTCAAACTTTCTTCTCATCAATCTCTTTGTTATTTTCTGTTACATTGTTTTCTAAGCAACATAGGCCAGTTTAGACAATAACATGCCAACTTACAGGTTATGGTTAAATATGGAACAATCAATAATTCACAGTATTGACAGGCATTGCTGCAGACACACTTTTCCAGTCAAAGCCTACATTCTTTTTATAATTAATGGCATGCTAATGTGGTCAGGAGTTAATGTGTTGTGTTGTGTGGGAATGTAATTGATTCTAATGTCCTGATCAAGTGAATTTCAGAGCAAATTAGAAAAAAAAATCTGGCTTCTGGCTGTTGCAGCACAAACCCTTTTGTAGTCATTCATCTTTGTTAACTCTTTAATGGAGCAAACTAAATTGTTCTATAGGTCTCAGTGGAGATGGTAAGCATCATATCTTTCCATGCTTCTATGATACAGTGAACAGGGGCACAGGGTAATTGCACAAAACCACTATAATAAGGTAGCTCAAATTAGCCTGCCCTCACTAAAATGAATTTAAGGGATCATCATGTCACACAGACTACTAAGGCGGACTACTAAGAGTTGTTATATATCGCTTCTCACCCAGTTGTATATTAATGTATGGTTAAAGCAACACTGTCTCATGTTTAATTTTCACACAAATGCCTGGTGGACGTAATTTTAAGTTTTCACATTCAGCCTCAGTGGACTGCTACAACAAACTAAACCATAACAAAGAGTAGAATTACGTTACAGGCAAGATTGTGCATACACAGAGGTTCATGCTTCAATTGCCTGCTTCATGCCACTGTGACCTGAGTTGAATCTTAAAAAAGTGTTGGCAAAATAAAAAAAAAAGTGTCTAAATGTAAAAGGTCACATTTTATATAAGGCTTTTCTACCTTCAAGTCACCCAAAGTGCTTAAAACCCCCCAAAAATAAACACTTAAGTTAAGTGTCTTGCCCAAGGACACAGCAACAGCTGTGGGATTTGGAATTTCAACTGTCAGCCTTTGAATCAGAGGATGAACAATGCTAAAGCCAGGGCTGATGCATTATGTCTTATTCTGCACTCTTCTTATATACAGTTAATTTCATGGTGATGATTTATGTTTTTAATGCCTTTCTTATTCTGTAAAGCACTTTGAATAACTTTGTGTACAAATTATGCTATACAAAGAAATTTGCCCTGCCTTATAAATTGTGAGATGAGAAAAGAGAGTGAAAAAGTATTGGCAGCAAAGTTTGAGAGACTCTACTGTCCCACCTTTACTGTACTTAGATGTAGTAAAGGTGAGTTGGGCCTTGCTTTGGTGGCATAGATTGTAGAATTGTGAGAGTTCGTGTCCAGATGTGTGTTTGCATTCAGGAGGTTATGGCACTGCCTCTTACCATGAGAAACAAACACTAATTGCCCAGTGGCCTGGGGTTGGAGATGTGCAGCTGGGGACAAGCAGCTAAAAATAACCCAGCTTGTTCCCATGAGTGTTGGGCACAGAACCACAGTGTTAGTATTCAGCATTGAGACATGGCATAGACAAAAAAGGTCAGCTCCTTGCCATGGTCACAATGTCAGGGAGGAGTACAGAGGCTGAATTAACTCCCGGTCTGCCCTGATGGGGACCTGCCCAACCAAGCCTTGCCCTCTAAACACTTGCTTGGAAATGTCACATGGAAACAGCCAGGCCTGTGTCATGACATCCTACGTTCTGTTTGTAGCTCAGCAGTGTCCAAGCCTCAAGCCTTTAGCGCCACACTGAGAGGGCCCTCCATGCTCGAGTCGAGTTACAGCTCCCTCTCTATGACACAAAAGACGCATCTGGTTCCACCTGACTGGAGTTATGAATAATTTAAGTCAGGGAATTATTATTTCCAGCTAGCTCCACTAGCTTGGCAATAACAAGCAGTTTAGGTGGTATCAAGGTTGCTTGCTAAATGTTTGAACATGGAATATGGATGTTATTTTAGTGCCTTAAATATATGTGAATTTGTGAAAACTTGGCTTAAAGGGTGATGATGTCTCTTAATTTTTAGGTGTAGTTACAAAGTTTTGTAAGTGAAACCATTGTATCTTTGATAATGAATAATAGGTTTTGCTTTGATTTTATTAAAGACAAAAGCAGCAGGTTGCAGAAAGCTAATTAAGTCAGTTGCTGAAACTATTGTTCTGACATTCAGAGTTGTAAGAATGTTTTTTGTTTTTTTTTTTCAGGTGAGAAATGAGGTTCTACCCTTGCAATTACCACACAGACGACATTTGGAAAGCTCCCATCTTCTAGAGGACTGCAGACATAACAGAGACAGTTGGAGCCATCAAAACCGAAAGCAGAAGTTACTGGTGAGTATTCTGCGTGGAAAAAGGGATAAATGTTGTTGGTGTTGGACTGAGCACAGACTATTAACCACATTTGAAGATTGCTGTAGAGGCTTTGCTTTGAGCACTTGTTTGTCTTTCATGTTTTGCTCCAAGCTTTAGACAGTTGAGCGTAAATTATTTTTTCCTCCAGTTGCTTACCCAGTGTCAAAATGAGCTGCACTTGCAGAGGTCTGTACGGAAAATGCCACTGGGATAAATTGAGGTCAATATTGAAGTTCATATTATTTTTTAAACTCACTGGCTTGTGGAAAATATGGCTGGGATCTTCCTTGGCCTACCTGGCAGCTGTAACTTCAAACAACCTTTCATTATAAAACTACCCCTCCTCTGACTTCAATAAAATGATCTTTTTTCCTTTTTTCTATACATTTTCTACTTCATAAATGTTATATCATTGAGATGAAAGATTTTACACTTCCTGTAAGAAGAGTATTTTCTGCATTTGTCTCTTCATCCACCCATTTTAGTCTTGGACTATTGACTGACAAGGGGAATTACTTGGACACTGTTTCTATCTTTCATCTTGAACCAAGATCTTATTAGGATTATTGGCTCAAACTCAATGGAATTGTTTGAAATCCTAGAGCTTTTGACAAAAATATAACTCCCAGAACACATGGCAGATGAACCTGATGGAGTCCACATAACAACAAATATGTATAATGTCTTTTATAATGTATTAAAGAATATTACCCATATAGAGCTGCAGCATTTATTTTGTTTATCAATGTGTCTGATGATTATTTTCTTTGATGAATCACTTAGGTATTTGTAGAGGCCTGTGAATGTGAGATTTTTCAAAAATTTATAACTGATGACACTAAAAAAGATTTTGATATAATTTATGCTTTTCTGAGTCAAAAAAACTCACCACATGGCAATTTTTAGAGTCAGCATTTTGTTGATGATTATTTCAATAATTTATTAGTTGTGACTAATCAATTAAATATGAGCCTACTGGCATATTTCATACATACATATATACATACATATACACATAGTGTTATTGTGGATTGTGGAGTATCCAAGAAATGATCACAGTTCAGTATAGGCTTTTGCTTACGATGCAAAATCACACAAGAGAAATTCTACATTAAAAATACATTACTACAGATTTTATTTAGCTAATACATTTTCATATTCTGTTTATACTTTTTATTGTAGCCTTTCACTTAGAGATAGACAGTAAAAAGGTTTCCCAGAGCGTAGTGCTTTGTCTGGACTGGGATCTCACAGTGGATGCTGCTTGTAATTCCCCCGGCTTCCCCTGACGTCTGTGGTTCAATATGAATGAGCTGCATTGATTAAGCCTGTGAGCAGTGCAGTGTCTGTGTATGTTGAGGGGTGGCTTGCTTTGTCTCACATGTTTAGCACTTAGCAGACAGTTGTTTTCACAGGAGACGACTTCTATGGGTCTGTTGCTACCTGCTGTTTCCAATGTAAAAAGTTGGGTCTGTGTTTAGAACTTAAACATATATTGTGTAACTTTCCTGGTGAAGGGTTCGTCACCTGATTGTTTTGATGGATATGTCATTGTTCTGCCTGGAATGTTCCCCAGTATGACATTAAACAGCTCTACTTTACATTCATTTTATTACAGGTGGTTTTCTATCTCAAAAAAACCCCAAGAGAAACTGATATTCTGACTGTGAGTGGGGGTGCCTCTCCACAAATCTGACCTATAATTTCATCTGGTTTGATCTCCATGACAAAAGAAGGTTTAATGCCATACTGTGAAATATTCCAGAGAAAGCAATAACATCTCATGGAGAAAAATATTTCAAAGACCCTCCACCAAAAGTTGCTCAATTTAAGTGGTGATGGGAAATTATATTGACAGTTGGAATAACATAAGATACTGACAAAGCTGAGGTCTGTCTGGATGTTGTTAATCCTTTGCTCAAATAAAGTTCATATTGAAATAGTCTTGGAATGAAAAATAATTTTGCATACTGTCTAAATAAGGTGGTATGTGTAAAGATGTTATAAGATGCAATTCTCAAGCTCCTGTGAGCATGACCTTCTTGTGCTGAAGTGTGCCAGCTGTAATCTATAGGGGTGTGATGTTAGAGCTACACTGTGATTGCTCGCTAATGAGGGTGGTGTGAGCTTTATTTTTAAACCCACGCCTCCTTGTGACAGGGCTACTTGATAATTACCTTGTCATCATTTGTTATAAGCAACATTTGCTTCTTCATGCAGTACAATGAATATGTGCTTGGCTGAACCCTTAAGTTGTCCATGTGAGTTCATCCATTGTTTTAATAATGATGATAGTTATTTCTTTTAAGTTGATGCTATAGCAAATCATCTGAATCCATTTAGTTTCTTATCTCTCCCCCCTCAAATGTCATGTGCCTTTTAACATTTCACAATTAAAATCCACTTTTTCTCCTCCTCTGTGACCATTCTGAGTCTCCACTTATTACTTCAAACATGATCATTTAGTTTGATGTACCCTTCCATGAAAATGTAACTACACTCAATGTTTGCTCTACCTTATAAAAGCTATTTGGAAAGACTTTTTTCATAACTGGATACCAGTGTGGTAGTCTTATTCTCACGTATCTCATTGCAAGTCGGCAACCTGTATAAGCATATCAGTCTTTTGTAATGAGATCACAACAATAGGTTTGTTTATTTGCTATGCAGAAATCAAAGTGGTTCTACAAAAAAACCAGGGATAAAGTTACAAGATGTCTTATTTTTCCATCCTATGTGATAGCAGAGTGGGTTGTCCTCCTCCTCCCTCTTTGTCAGCTGCAGGGGTGAACTTCTGAGGTAAATTGGCAGACTTACCAGTCCGTCAGAAAATGAAACCCCTGCATCCATCAAAGCCTTAGCCTCGTCAGAGCAAGTGTTTGAGCAATTTTTCCGCACCCTTTTTTTGTTTCGAGTCGTGCGTTGCCTGCAAAGATTAAAGTGGAGAAGATGTACTTGTTTACCGCCCTATGCAGTAAAATGATATGTGACGTTTTGGCAAGTCACTTCTTTTCATGCGTCAGCAGCAGACTATTTTATGTCTATATATTCATTGTTTTTCTGTGTGTGCTGGGCCAGCCTTCAGAATATTTATAAGCTAAGATTGTGACCCATTGGCCATCTGTCTCTGGGGGTGTCTCACTGTCACAGCTGTGATGGCAAAGCAACAAGACTTATTAGTGATGTGAATGTTTCCATCTGAATTTAACTTCTGCCTCATGACTGTGTGACTAATGAAAGCCCTACAGCCTTGCCTACAGTCTCCTGATGGTTGAGTGACTCACCAACCCAGTTTCTACGTCATAAATATGCAAAAGAATACATAGATTGGCATCATCACCGTTTAATCACTATAGTTGTGTAGTTCTGCTGATACTTAGCTGTTTCAAGTACATCTTCCACCTATTCAGGACAACTCTTGTTTTTCTGTTTTTGGGGGATGTTATACATTTGTTTGTTTTACTTTAAATACATTTTGCTATTGCCCATGTAATTAATCTTAACTTTAATCTTAGTCATCCAGAGAGTCTGGAATGATTAATTTCTGCACACATCTGTTTGTTTGCTCATATATTGACGTGGGAGGGCCCTATGCTGGGGGCCATTCCATGTTTACATCAGTTGTAATAAAATTAAAGCTACACTACCGGCTTCCACTGATCCTTTAATTCAATTACCCCTCTACTTATTAATGCTCAGATGCTGCTGCTGACCCGGGACTGCACCGTACATGGGTAAGGCCTTAAGTGTAGCCCTAGCTGTGATACATTAAGTCCCTGTTCTTCTTTGGCATTACACACTGATCCCACAATCAACATTATGACCTCTGTATGGTGAAGAGAATAACACAGGTTATCTATTTGCCCTAGCACGTTTTAATGTGTGATTATTACACTGTTAGTAAGTGAACATTTTCTTCTTTATGAAACAGAAAAAGACAACAGACAAAAATCTGAGCAGGTCATAAGGAGTTAACAGGAATAAAACAGTGCCGGTGATGCTTGTGGAGGAGGAAAGCCCGGTCTATGTGGACCGATCAAACACATGAGCTGCTCTGCTCAAATAGCTGAGTGAAGTTAATCATAGCTGTGATGTAAAGGTCAGCTGTGCACAATATTGCAATTTGTTGCTACATATTAGACAGGCGGTCATTACCCATAACAACACCAAAATAGGGAAGTCTTGATACTGCTGTGTGTTAGAACAGGCTTTAAATTTTTTTGTATTGTTTAAATGTGTAAAAATCTTCTTTCCAATCTGCTGCAGCATACACAGACATGTTTGTGTTACTGTTGTCTTCCTGACTGAGATATGGCCATCAAGTGTAAACTGTTAGATTGTGTTGTTATTGGAACCAGTCCATGTGCTTCTCAGCCCTAACAGGTTTGCACAGAGCTGGTGGGATACACAGACACAGGCTGTGTGATGCCAGCGTGAACATAGATGACAATCACACGCGCCAAATATGCAAACACCAAAACACTGCTTATAGTCGACCTCACCAGCTCAATTTAATTAAAATGGTGAGATAACGTCTAATTGTTTTACCCAGGAGGACAAAGAATCTCTGTGATTGTGACAGTATCAAAGGGCACCCGCCTCCATAGCCTGATTTTCATCTACATGTGGACTCACCATTTTCAGCAGCAGACCAGTGAATGAATGATTTGACTTGGTTTGATAATGATATGCTGATTTGCTACCAGTTGGACTGTTGTTGTAGTTTTGAATTGCTGCACACTAGGGAAACCTTTTCTTGTTTTGTAATATTAACCTCAAAATCAATAAAGCTGTCACTGATAATAATGGACCAAGTATGCATCTATAACTAATCTTGCTTTGTCTTGTGCAATTATCTTGCAGTGACATTATGAGATTTTCTACATTGATCTTATTAAAATATATATGTACTTGAGGTCCCTTTCTCTCAGTGCAGGATGGATGTTCTGTGTTAATAATGTAACTGGTTTGAACAAGAT